CTATTGTTTCCTTCTTGCTTTCCCCACTATGCTCCACCTGTGGTGGCAGCCAGAACCTTCCTCACTTAGCCACACCTCCTAGGCTTTTCCCAGCAAACCCAGCCAAGCATCCAGTATTCTGTACCTAATACACATTTAATCTCATCTTGGTGTAAAGGGTGGGGCCAGGGCTGGGTGGTGAGTGTCCCTTAATGATTCGGGATGTAGAGTGAGGGGTCTGGGGAGGTGTTGCAGAGCCCTGGCGACAGAAGGAGTGTGGACTAAATGCTACAGATCTTTGAAAATCTTACTGAGGTTACCCAAGGTCCGAGTGACAAGTCCAGTGTGCATGGCAGGAAACACAGAGGCAGAGGTGCAACTTTCTCCTAAGGTACTGCTGCATCACCCATAGACCACCGTGTCCTCCACGGGATCTTCAGAGGCCTGAGTGCCTGGCTGTGTGCATAGCATACAGGTCTGCACAGGGACACAGCAGTCCAAGTGGGGATCTCTTAGCAGTCTTCCAGCTTCCGGGGAAGGTCTGTGGTTCCCCAAGGCTGAAAAGCTACAGCCTACAAAACTGTCCAGCTCCAGGCTCTTCCAGGAGGCATTCCGCCCCCAACATCAGGCTCAGTTCCTGCACTCACAATAAGGTGAGAGTTCCCTTGGGAGGCGAAGGTCCCAGGCCTCAGACCTTGTAGTAAATGTTAGCAGGATTCTCTGGGGGCATCTCCTGCGCTATGTACACTGGGTCCCCATAGTCCCCGCTGACCTTCTCATAGTGTGGGCAGAAGACACTGTCTGCAGTCCTTAGTGGTATGATAACATCACTGGGTTCCCAGCCAGAGTTGTTGCCACCTCACTTGGGTGTGGCTGTGTGCTGTGGAGAGTGTTTGCCGTGCCTCCTGCGGTACTTGAGCAGCAGTACCACCAAGGTGATGATGATGACGATGACGATGATGCATCCTGATGTGATTCCTTCGAATCAGGCCACTTTGGAACCCAGGAGGTTGTTCCCGGAATGCCCTGCGCTGTTGCCTTCGGTGCTGGTACCTGCACAGAAGCTAGAACAGCCACTTACTGTGGTTCTGAGATTCTGCCCTCTAGCTTGCAGAAAGAACGCTCCAAATGCAAACAAGTAAGCAGGGCCAATGCTCAACTCACAGGGTGACCTTACAACAGATCACCAGATGAGTTGAAGGAGCTTCAAAGGTCCGACACTCACTCACCATGCCAACCACTTCCTAAAGGCGAGACAGCCAATCTGGAACTTCCCTAATTTCAACACTTCAGGATGCATCGGTAACTGACACACCTGATGAGCTCTGCTCTGGTGACTGTAAAACACTGAACGGGCTGAATTAATCTGTCTTAGTGGCAGAGTTAATATTGACTCGCCGAGAGCAAAGACCCCAGGAATCTCTTCCCACGAGTGAATTCCACAGGTTTGGATGTGTTTTGAGGCTCCTCTGCCTCTAGACGTTCTAAGAAAAATGCACCTCATAGACTCACAGCCCCACCACACTGCTGTCCCTGGATTTGGTTACACAAAAGAGCTTGTTGTTGAATTTCTTTGGTTTGTACCAGCTTCTAGCTCTGGACGTCTTGTTGGATCATTATTCCTGGTTGATCCAGCAGGACTTGCATCTACATGAAGAAGAAGCGATTAATCATGGCACAGACATCTGAAAATGTAGCAAGCTTCAGGAGTTGCAAAGATATCTCAAGAGGCATGAACAGCAATGAACATAAGACTCTCTATGCAAAGTGCTGAGAAATACAAGAATATAAACTTCCGTTTTAATCAGAATGGTTATCCTAGTTATTTGTTAGGTTTAGATTAGGAGGCCATCTGAGGAAACTATAGGGATTCTTGCATTTGGCAGTCAAAGCATTCCAGATGACATTTCAATTTCACTAAGCAAGTTGATTGACAGCTATACTAGTCTCTAATTAGAATAATTCTTTGTTTCTTCACAATAGGTTATTCTTACGTGAAAACATAGCTCTTGGTTTGATATTGAAAATAAAACAAAGAAGCAGAGCCAGTGTTTACTAGACATTTTGATTGTTTTTCAAAGAGGTGTTCTGCATTGTAAAGAGATATATATGTGTCTGTGGCATCACACAGATACCCTGTCTCACTGGCCTGAACTTTTAGAGAGATCTAAATGAGAAAAACTGAGCATGTCAGTTTGCGGGACTCAACCAGTGGTTCAAAGTGCAAAAAATGGTCTGCCTTCAAAACTAACAAGAGCATTGATGGTGAGCATCACCCCAGGTGCCATGCTAGCTGGGGGCTGTACCAGCTCACAGTGGGGTCACAAAGCCACAGTTG